CCTTCCCTTCCCTTCCCTTCCTCCCTCCCCCTCCCTCCCTTATCTCCTTCCTTCCTTCCAAGCAAACCCGGTTCCATATTTACATAAAAATAGATTCCCTCTTCCACATTTTATTTTCATTGTAGTAGTTCCAGATATATCATCTTTTGGCTGTAGATTTGTATGGGAATACTTCTCTGTTTTTCCCTTCGTTTAATAGTGTGTCGTCTGACCTGAGTTGTAATCTTTTATTCATATTCTCTCCCCTTTCTTTTCCTCTTTCCTTCTTCCCTTCCCTTCCTCTCTCTCTCTCTCTCTCTCTCTCTCTCTCTCTAGACGGTGAAGAGACACCCTTGATCAAACTGATGGCAGGAGATGGGCCCACAGATTTCTGGACTTGGTCCCTGAGGAATTGAAGTCCTGTGCCTTGTCTAATTTTTCCGTCCTCGCCTCTCCGCCCGATCGCTTGCTACGTCCACCACGACAACATGACTCAAATTTGGACGGGTTTTCTCCTTTGGCTTGCCAACCATCCGAGGTGGGCCTACGGTCGAAGGCCTCCTTGGTGTTGGTCCCTCTTTTTCTGGCCTCTGGTCCTTCGCCTTCCTCTCACCATCCACGCAACGACCTTCAAAGTTGGGGTGATAGGTCCCTGGAAGTGTGACCCCATCTACGCCCGAGCCTACCCCGACTCTGCGGCCAAGTTGGCTGTTAGCCGGATCAACAAGGACCCCACTTTAAACAAGGGACACCGGTTTGATTATGTCGTCCTTAACGAAGACTGCCAGACCTCCAAGACCCTCGTGGGCCTGCTCAGTGCAGAATATTACGCCTCTGGTTTCGTCGGTCCGGTTAATCCCACGGCCTGTCAGGTAGCGGGGATGCTGGGCAAGACTTGGAACAAGCCCGTCGTCTCCTGGTCTTGCTTGTCGGATGACGACGAGGTTGAGCGTTTTGGGACTTTCGTGCGGCCGTTGCCTCAGGCCTCCTTTGTGCTCTACACTGTACTTAAGTACTTCCAGTGGGCTCACCTGGCCATCATCACCTCTAAAGAAGACCTCTGGGTCCAAATGGGGAAAGGCCTGGCCGATTCGCTGAGGAACTTCGGCCTGCCCGTCACCGTCATGGCCACCGTGGACGATGAACCGAGTGGGGTGGAAGATGCCCTTCAGAAGATCAAGAAGGCCAACAATGTACGAGGTATGGTTGTCATGGGCAGATGTTCCTCACGAGAGGTCTAACGTAAGTCTGTTAAACCCTCGGTTTGAAAAATATGGAGTGTGTCTTAGGAGAAAGGGGTGTAGACAGAGGTGAGATTCAGACGGTTCGGACCAGTTTGGACTGGTTCGAGCGAACCGGTTGCAGACATTTTGAGTGGTTCGGAGAACCGGCAAATGCCATCTCTGGTTGGCCTTGCCCTCCCACAATGTACAAAGTATGGTTGACATGGGCAGATGTTCCTCACGAGAGGTCTAATGTCCATCTGTTAAACCCTAGGTTTGAAAAACATGGAGTGTGTCTTAGGAGAAAGGGGTATAGGCAGAGGTGAGATTCAGACGGTTCGGACCGGTTCGAGCGAACTGGTTGCAGAAATTTTGAGTGGTTCGGAGAACTGGCAAATACCACCTCTGGTTGGCCTCGCCCTCCCACAATGTACGAAGTATGGTTGACATGGGCAGATGTTCTAACATAAATCTGTTAAACCCTAGGTTTGAAAAACATGGAGTGTGTCTTAGGAGAAAGGGGTATAGGCAGAGGTGAGATTCAGACGGTTCGGACCGGTTCAAGCGAACCGGTTGCAGAAATTTTGAGTGGTTCGGAGAACCGGCAAATACCACCTCTGGTTGGCCTCGCCCTCGCACAATGTATGAAGTATAGTTGTCATGGGCAGATGTTCCTCACGAGAGGTCTAACGTAAGTCTGTTAAACCCTAGGTTTGAAAAACATGGAGTGTGTCTTAGGAGAAAGGGGGTGTAGGCAGAGGTGAGATTC